CCCCCCGCCCCGTCCGGCAGCCGCGGGCGGCGGGAGCGCCCCTTGCCCGCCTCTCGCTGCCTCCCCGCCCGCCTCCCCCGCGCTCCCTCCGCCCCCTCGGCCGGCAGCTCCCGCCCGCCGCTCCCCGCTGCGCAGAGCGGCCGCGCCGGCGGGGGATGGAGAGCCAGCGCTGCTTCGCCAACCGCTTCGATGACTACCCGGGCAGCCCCGCGGCGGCGCCGGACAGGGACGCGGCGGTGCCGCTGGTGACGGCCACCATCGAGCGCATCCTGCGGGAGCTGCCGCCCCTGGGCGGCCCCCGCGGCTGCCCGGGCGGGCTGTACGGCGGCGTGGCCGGCGTGGCCTACATGCTGTACCACGTCGCGCAGTGCCCGCTGTTCGCGCCGTCGCGGGACTCGTACCTGCGGGCCGCCCGCCGCGTCGTGGACGCCTGCCTGCGCTACCAGGAGGGATGCGGCGAGGCCGACGCCGACACCCGTGCCGCCTTCCTGCTGGGCGGCGCCGGGGTGTACGCGGTGGCCGCGCTGGTCTACCGCGCCCTGGGGCTGCCCGACTACGCGCGGCCGCTGGGCAAGTTCAGGGAGCTGAGCGAGGTCTGCGCCCCGCTCTCCTTCCTCGAGTGCGGCTCGGACGAGCTGTTCGTGGGCCGCGCCGGGTACCTGTGCGCCGCGCTGGTGCTGAAGCAGCGGCTGGGCATGGAGGTAAGGGCGGGCCGGGGCCGGTCACGGGCGGCTCTCCGCGCCGCTGCCGGGCCGGGACGGTGCCCTCGGTGCTAGAGGGGAATGCGGCGGTGCCCGGCTGGCTGCAGCTTGCGCTTTCGGGGTACAGCTGCAGAGCCCCCGGGCAGCGAGTTCCCGGGGAGCTGTTCTCTTCAGCGCTTCTCCCCAAAGTGAAGAGATGCGGCTTTGGCCGGGGGGAGCGGGATGGGGTCCCGGCTGTGGAGCGGAGCGCTGCATCCCGCGGCACGCCGAGAGCATCAGCTGTTGGTTCCGGATGGTGAATTAGTTCGCAGAAGCCACCCCGGGCTTTTCGAGAGTGTTTCCGTAAAACGAAGTGGGTGAGAAAAGAAATAGCGTTGAGTAAAACAGAGCGAGGAACCCTGTAGTACTAAGCAGTTCTGTGCTGTAATTTGTAAGCAAGGAACCACATCTTCAGAGGCATTTGGTCTCGCTAACCCCAGCACACAGACTTTCAGAAATCTGGCCGTGTATTTTGGTGCTTTTCATGAATGAGAGCAGGGAGTTTTTGCTGGGAGACTGAGATGTGGTTATGGTTCAACATAGTGCTGGTTTCAGTAGTCGGGACTTTACCCCAGGACGTTGTCATTGTCAGTACAATTTCACTGACATTTAAGAGCTTCCACTGATTATGGCATAATAATTACTGCAACTGATTGTGTTTGCTGTGGTGATTGTTACTAAGTGGTCAGTGTGGTATCTGAGCAGGCAGTTGGTAGATTTTTTTCCCCCTGTCCTCTTGTCAGGTCCAATCTGTGTTTCCCGTGTTAATCACTGATTTGCAAGTTCATATGCTTCTGGCTTTCTTCCCTCCCAGGAGAGGAAGCAAGATTTATTTATAAGTAAATAAATGATGTAAAACTAGTGGCTCTGCCCCATCCAATACCAGTCACTGCAATTGGAGTCTGAGGAGATGCACTTAATGGAGGTCTCAGGAGGCTCCAGGGTATCCAGAGAAGCCAGGAAGAATGTTAAATACTGTGATTGCCTTGAACTAGAATTCCTAACCACACTAAGCATTTCAAGTAGCCTACCAAGCCTGCTGTTTCTTTGTACAGGATTGTCTGACAGTCATAGCCATAAACATGGTTACGCTATTTGTAACCATAACATAACCAAATTTTTCATTTGGTAGTCTTTCCCATTACAGGAAAGTTTTGTAGACATGTCACAATCCGTTGTGCAGCAGTGCCTGCCTGAAGGGATGGTTTCTCATGGAGAAAGAAGCCATCCCTCTTGGTTCAGTTTGCACTGGGGGAGTGTGTCCAGCACCCATGTCAGTGCTTATGATGGTGTTGTGACATTCCGGCAGAAGGAGGTGGCATCCTGCACTCTACTGCTTTATTTAATGCTATTTCCATTTGCCTTTCATCCCTGAGAGCAATTGCTGAACAGTTGGGAGAGTGGGTGCAGGCGCCTCTCACAGGCAGCGTGAGCAGTGGGAGAGCTCTCCTCTGCTTGCTTGGTGAAAAATTGTGCTAAAGGCAGCTGTAAAGAGTGACACATCCCCACAGATAAGCACAGGTGTGCACTTACTGTGGAAACTATTTAGCAGGTGGGTTAATTGCTGTTTTGCCAATAAAACATATCCTGTGACCCCTTGCTGATGTTTTCATTGATGAGCTAATGTCCTTCTATAGTATTATTTCTTCTGTCAAATATGTGTAATTTTAAATACATTGTGCAAGAAACAAAGCACACTACTAATAATTAATAAAATTAAATTTTTGAATTTTAAAAAACATTTAAAAACTTACAACTGAAATATTTTGCTTCTTTGTGAGGAGAATAATGATTTCTACTCTATATGTACTCAAGCTTGAGTAAAATTTGTGTCCTTTGATAAATATTCCCAGCCTAGTACAGAATTATTTTAATTAGTACATTGTCAGACCAAACCTTGCATCTTTTTACAAATGAAGAAAGGGATGCCCAGAGAGAGTGCATGTCATTTATTACCCAAGGTCAAACTGTAAGCCAGGTACATCCCAGAATAGAAGCAATATCTTGTGATTCGAACCGCTGGAAAATGCTACCTCCTGTAATTTGATTGTGCACAGCCTCACATGGCTCATTGCAGCATGTTTTCTTGTTACCCACGTTCTTTTTTTTCCTTTTTTTTCCCTTTTTTTTGAGGACACAGTGCAAATATTTCCAGCACAAAGTGAAATACATTCCTTATGTTGAAACACAGCCGCTGCTGCCTGCATGGTTTTTTCCTCTGAAGGAGTCAAATGATGACCTACATACAAGAAATCACTTGTCCTTGAAAAAAGCCTTTTGAGGGAATGTTATAGTTTATGTCTTGTATTTGTTTTTTGTTTAAGTCAAACAGGGAAGGAAGGTGACAGGTTTATTTCAGCAGACACGTTTAGCTCAGCTGCAGTGCCCCAATACTTCAATTTCTTGCTAAAGAGTCCTGGTGTCTTTAAGCTCCACATGTTCTTCATGAAGTGAATGGACTGTCCTGAAGGATCCAGTCTGTTGGATAACACTGGCCTCATGTGCAGAAGGCATTTGCATTCAGCTGGTTTTCAGATTTTTAGGCTAATACAGCATTTTTCCCTGATTAATTAATTGGGATTTTTTGCATGAGTAAGGATTACTTCAACAGTCAAGGCTTAACAGGATTTGACTTTCATGATGCACTGTGCATTAGGAAAGATGTTTATTTTCATCCCTTCTTTAATTTCCATTATATTGCAGTCAGTGCTTCCCAGACAGATATAGGTAAAATACTGTTTTGGCAGAAATAGTGTATCATTTGTATAAGGTGCATGTATTTTAGCTGTCCTTAACTGCTGTGTTTTCACCATTCAGGGGGGAAAAATTGTTTTATTCTCTCTTAAGTACATCTTTTCCTAATGCTTGTAATGTTGGTTCATTGTGTGTCCTTGGGGAAATCTGTCAGTCCTGCTTTTAATTACCTTCACTCCCTCTCTGTTTGCTCGGGCAAACATAAGTAAGACCCCATTAAAAGGATGGTCCCATCCCTCTGTTTGGACGATATCTTATCCTCTCCTCAATTTTTCTCTGTGATGCTTCAGTCCCATTTCGTGGTTGATGGAGCATGGTGTGCCTGGGTCGATGCACTCCCTTCTGGCAATGTAACTGTCAGATGATGGGAAAGGTACAGAAGTTCAAGTGGCTCCTTGTATTACCATCTGCTAAAGATGTTGCTGCCTTTTAGCACAGCTTGGGTTATCTTTTAATAACTGACTGTGTGGATGGGCTCTACTGACTTCCACTGGCTCAGGGTTGCAGCAGCAGCACAGACAGCAGTGGTGCCCTGGGCAGCATTTGGCACAGCCTGGGGCTGTGATTTCATTGGAGACTCTGCTTTCAAAAGACTTTGGGACCCCGTGAGAGACCCTTGCTGTGGTTGCAGGGGTGTCAAGGTGAACTAGCACACTGGCAGCAATGTGGCCAAACCTGTTTCCTCAGGGACTGCGGCACTGGGGAGCCTTGAGAGCCTGTAGAGCTCTCCAGAGCCACAGTGGTTCCTGTCTCTGTGGCAGAGGGACATCTCAGTTTCCTTTTCCAGCCAGTACTAGGTCATGACTTGGTGTGTGTGTCCAGGGGTGTTATCCTGTCAGAGTGTGCATAATTCTGATATTCTGTCAGGGCCTGCCCAGGAAGGACCATGGTCTTTCTAGCAGGACCTCCCGGAGTGTAAATGGTGAATGGTGAAAACCATTCTTATCCTGGCTGCCCTCTGTCACCAGAGCCTCTTTTGTCCTGCACCTCAGGAGATTGCAAACCAAGCTGAACGAGTCACCTGGTGTGTGGAAAGCAGGAATAGCTCTGCTGTGGGATGTCTGGGATCTGGATGCCAGTGTAGAAGTGTCAGGCGTTATTTTAAGAGGCAGTGGAACGGATGGATGTGCAGTGTGTGGATCCAACTAGTGTGTATTTTGTAATATTGTGGGAGAGAAGATACAAATGAATGAAAACTATTTTCTTTCAGCTCCTCAGACAATTCTAGGTGATGTTGTTGGTTCCTTAGAGCCTTCCCTCCAGACAGCCAGTGAGTGTTTAAAGACTCCTGTAGGCTACTTTGCTTCACTTTTTTCTTTTTCTTCAATGTCTTAGGAAAAAATGGAAAGTGTGAGAGGAAGAATCTTCCTGAGTCCTGCCTAGAACATGTTCATTTGCAAATCTTTAATGTGGAGTGCTGTATTAATGCTGAACATAGTGTTTCTGAAAGACATAGAAATTAAAGATCTTCGAAGGGAGCTCTGCAAAATACCCACAAAACTGATGCTCCTCCAAGTGCTGTAGTGCAGAATCCCTGTGTCAGGCTTTAATTCTCACCTGTGCCTGAACGGGGAGGGTTGGCCTTTGAGGTGAGATTTCATTCCTCCTCTGTGGCCATTAAAGTCCTTTCTCTCTGTGGAAGAATTTGCCAGTTTGTGTGAAACGTTGTGGTGTTTTAAATGTCACATATCATGGTGCTGGCTGGGACTGTGCTGATTTCATTATTTCATTTCACACAGGCCACTACACAGCCAGGATCTCTTTTTTTGCCAGAGGATTAAAATGAGTTAACAGTAAAGATAAAATCTTTTCATCCTAGCCTGCTTCTTTTAAATGTACAGTCTCCTAGCCATGGTTTTCAAAATTACACACAGGGGATGAATTTTGAATTAGTTTGCTTAAATGGATTAATTTAAACCAGAATTTGAAAACCGGCTTTTTCTAAAGTAAACAGTAAAACAAAGGGAATTATTTGAATCTGGATTTGGTTTTTTTTAAGGAATCTAAAATAATTTGGGCATGCATTCAGAATTTTCCTGTTTCTCTTCAGCAAGGCAATGCAAAACCTTTTTATTTTAACAGCCTTCAGACTGGGAGATGGGGACATCTTGATAATGGCTGAATTCTGTTCAATGCAGTGAACCCTGAATATTCAGCTGTAGAGTCAAAGTAGAAAACGAGGTTCAAAATGTTGAATTTCAAGTGCA